GGAGGCAGTTCCGAGCAGAAAGTTCAACAAAAAAACAAGGGCTGGAGTTTGGGAGTGGGCGAGGGAGACAAAGGGGGCAGTCAGAAGACAGACTTGGGCAAAGGACAGAGCGAGCCGTGTGTGGGAGAGCGGAGCGTCGGAAATGTGCGCGCGCGCCAAGTGAACCAAAGCTGTGTGAGGCAGGGGGACGCCCACGAGAGGACACGAAGAAGAATGCAGAGAGCAGGGTGAAATGGCTGGAGCACGATCTGTGGCAAGAGAGGGTGGGATGAGGTGAGCAGAAGGAGTGTGACGGGGGATACGTCAGGACCCGTACGCACAAGGTACGCAAAAGAAGCACGGACATAGATTTTGTAAGAGCGATGCTCTAGAGAACAGGGACTTTGTCTTTATTTAGGAAAAACAGAATTCTTTAGAGAGTACCAGAGGGGTTTAAGAAGAGCAGTCAAATAATATATAGAAGAAAATTTCAAAGTCTGCAAAGAAGAAACAGAAGAATTATATTTAATTGCCATAGATTGGATGAGATGGAAGGAATTGGAATAGAAAATCAAACTTTTCTAGAAGAGAAAAAGAATTTTGTTTTGTATTGATAAACAGAGGGAATATGGCCCCATATGGTATATAGTAATTTAGGGTGTTTTTATTTGTCTGGTGCTGGGAATAAAGCCCAATGCTTCTCTTATGGATGCACTCTCCCAGTGAGCACCATAGCACCAACCTAGACCTTTCATACGGTGACGTTTCATTTCTTTTCGTTTTTGGTATCAGGAATCAAACTTGGGACCTTGCACTTGCCAGGCAGGCAGCAGCCCCACTGAGCCAAATCCCCGGCTCAGTGACTTTTTCAATATATAAAATGTATTGATTAAATGGCAACAAATTTATTTTGCATATCACCACACTTTTGGATTTAAAAATACACCATAGCCTGGCACGCATGAAGCCCGGAGCTCATCCCCAGGGCACCAGCACACACATGTATACAAGTGTAATTACACACACAGCATGTGCACACACACATGATTATGTAGCATGGCTATATGGCATCTGCTTTGGAATCGAAGTCAAAAAGAGTCCTCTGTGGTTCATTGATGTCTCCCTGTAAGGTACAACACAAATGAGCATTCTTGTATTCTGGACCAGAGGACTTCGTGCAGATCGTTCATATTCAAATGTCACATGCAGACACGAGTAGATAAGGAGAGGATAAATATTAGTTTCTTCCTTCAATATATTTACTTATAAGGAACGAGGCTTAAAATATTGAACAAGTTTTCATTCTCTACCACGCTTTATAAGGATATGAGTTTAAGAAGCTAAGGGACTGAAAACAATAATTGACAAGCAAAAAACAAAAATGAAACAAAAAACCCAAATACTTCCCTTAAAAAATTTATAATTGATAAATGAATTGATAAATGATAATTGATAATTGATAAATTATTTTTTTAAAAGTGTGGTGACAGGTTATATTCAGCTGATAGTGTTGAACTGTTGTTGTCAAGTGTTCTGGTATGCCAATGACTTAGGCAAATTCATTAAGAACTGTTCAAATAAGGCAAGCTTTAAAGATGCAGGCAGATTAGTGTGATTTTATGAATCACATTTTGGGGAGCCAAACAGCCAAATGTTTTAAATCCCAGTTAGCTCTTCTTACAGTTGGTTTAGCAGTTGCTGTCTTTGCATCACAGACTCAGACGCTGAAGCAAATTCACTGTTGATGACCTTAAGAAAGGTCGCTGAGTAAATCAGTTCCCATCCTAGGTCTAGACTCTAACCACAAAGGGACTATGTGCAGCCTGTCACCTGAGCTTTTGTTGCCATTCACTGCCACTCATTTCAACTTGGGGTTTTCACATCTGGTTTAAAAATTTAATGTGAGGAAACTTCAAAAGTGCAAATACACACACAATCACAGACACACATTGTATTTAGTTTGCAGTACTGACTGCTGGGTAAAATTCTGGAAGCCTTCAGAATGAGACAAATCCAGCTTGTTGAAATGTGTTGTTTGGCCAACAGAGTGTTGGAGGGTTGAAAACTTCGGTTTTAAATCAGTTGTCAACATTTAGAAATTAGAAGTTTCCTGTAGCTCACTTTCTGGCTTCTTTTTCAAACATTAAAGCTATGGGGGAAACTGGCCTAGCTTCTCAAACAGTAAAAGTCCCTTGGAGTGTGGGCTGGAGGTGTAGCTCACTGGTAGAGAGATTGCTGAGCCCGTGGTAGACCCTTGTTCCACCCCCAGCCAAAAGTAACACAAATAAAATAAAATCTCTTGAAGCTGGGTAGCAAAGTTCCCCTTCCCTCTCTCCCTGATCAAGTAGGCACAGTTCCTTCACTATCTGCCTTTGGCTCCTTTATGCTTTACATTAAGTGCTTGGTCTCTGTTCCCAAGTGATTTAGAGAACAGTCCTATGACGGAACTTAACATATCACCAGATTAGAAATCTTCCATCATTTCTAGACCGTTTTCCAGGGAACACCATTCAAAGCTTCGGATCTTCAAGACACCTGTTTTATCTTTCTCTATGCCCTCCCATTATCTTCCAGTTTCCGTTCCAAAATAGGAAACTTCCTCTGAATATTAACAATGCTATTTCCTCTCTAAAGTTCTCAATGCGTCCTTGGTTTTCATTTCATTTGTGCTCTTGTACTTGCTTGAAGGCAATGTATTCTTCCTTTTTTACCATTAGAGATTGATCCTAGGGGCTTACACATAGTAGGCAAGTGCTAGCCACTGAGATACACCCTCACCCCCACAAACATTTTGATTTATGATTTTCTTTTTTTGGTGCCAGGGATCAAACTCAGGACCTTGTGCTCCAGAGGCACGTGGCAGCACCGCTGAGCTAAATCCCAACCCTGATTTATGATTTTCTATAATGCAGGCACATAGAATTAAAAAGGTATAGTAAGGTTGCTTGGTATAAGACTTTACAGAAAGGGCAAGACCTCCAGGCAGCACAGCTCTGTCATCTTAATCTCAACAGGGACACTGATTTCTGGTTCAGGAGTCATCAAAATAACTTCTAAAAAATGTCACAATGTATTGATCACTGGAAGCTTGGGGCCCTGCTTCTAGTGTTAGCTGAACCAAAAACCTTAGTCAAAATGATGATTTGGCTCATTTCCAGACAAAGCCTGCCTTTAAATCTCTCCTGAAGTGGATTACAGGAAATAAAAATGTCATATACACAAGGTCCTGGTCACTGTGCCCAGATTTAATTCAACCCAAAGCACTACAGACAGAGGCCTGGTGTATAACACAAGGTGTGGTGGGTATGTAGCTCAGTGGTAGAGCATCTACCTAGTATGGGTGAAGTCTTAGGCTCACTGCCCAGCACTACACACACACACACACACACACACACACACACACACACACACACACAATCAACTTCCTTCCTTGTAGCCACCCCTCAATTTGAAGGAACCAATGCATTGTATCACATACTACTTTTCCTTTGGGGCACTGTATCTTGGTATTTTTAAAATTTGTCAGTTTCTGAGAAGCACTGCACACCAAGTGAAACTGCAAGCACTGTCCGCTGTTCCTAGCATCTCCTATTTCTGAACACTATCCTCAGCCCTTCAAATATTGATCAAATATGGACCCATTAGGAGTATTTTCCCGACCAGAAATCCAAGGAGTTACTATCACACTGACATACAGCTGCAGACTTGCCCTTCTGTAACAAATGGTTCTGTGAAAGTAGTATGCTAGTTCCAGCCCATAATTGAGACCACTTCCTACAAAGTGTCAGAACACCCGGTTAAAAGTAGTCAAAGCTCACATTTAAAAAGCACAGAAAGTACTGCGGTTATATCTCAGTGACTGAATGCTTGCCTAGCATGAAGGGGGCCCTGAATTTGATCCCCAGAGCCACATTTAACATTTTGTTCTAAAGAAGGAATTCTAGGTTTGGTTAAATCAGAAGTGCGACATTGACATGAAGGACTTGGATATATTTTACATTCCCATTTTGTTGTTCTGTCTTATCCCGTCATGGTTTCAGAATGGTTGTCACACCCCCAAGGATCACATGAAGACAATGTCATGCCAAGGCAAATGTTAAATTTTGTCCACAAATTTTTTCTTAATTGTGGAGGAACTCTATTCCGATAAGTCTTCCAGTAGTTTCCCACCAGGCTACAACAATGGCTGTGATTAGATTTCACCTTTAGCCTAGCCTAGAAAAAGGAACCAGACTATATAATATTGGGCATTTTCAGACCTGTATTTAACCAGAGTAAAGGAGGGGTGTGGGTGCATTGTAGTGTGGTGAGCCAGAAATGGCTTCTGTGAAGGCAACCAACAATGTGTACCCATCCCCTGAGGACACAGGCTTAATTCAATAGCAGGGAATTATTGATCCTTCAGCTTTTTCCTAATGGGCCACCTGTGTTTGATTAAGAACATTAAGGTGGAACCAGGCATAGTGACAATCATGACTTCTGGGCAAAGTCAGCCCGGGCAACATAGAGAGACCCCCATCACACACACACACACACACACACACACACACACAAACACACACACACACACACACACACACACAGGAGACACCATAGGGGGATTCTGGCAGGAACCTGAGTTCAATCCCCAACACTGTAAAAAGACTAAAATAAGGAACAGTAAAGGCTTTCCCCTAACATTGTATACATGGATTGCTTGTTTATTAGCTACTCTTATTCTGATCTGATTTCTGTCCTATTTTAAGGGCCACACCTTGACGCATTGCTGCTTCTGTCTCCTTGTACTTGAGGTCTAAACTACAATCGCACATTGTGTCGCGGCGGGGAAACGTTCTGAGAAATGCAAGGTTAGGTGATTGGCGATTGTGGGAATATAGTAGAGTACACTTAAGACAGCTGTACTGTCCCCAAGCAGCGCGATCTTATGGGATCTTATGGGCCTCCTTCGGTGTGAGCTCCGCCATTGACAGAAGGCTGTCGCCCAGCACCTGACTGCAAACACTCCGGTGATGGACTCTCAACTCTTTCTCACAGACCTCCCTGGTGGGCTTTCGGATCTGGCTTCACGTTCCCTTAATTGGGTTTCTACGGGCTGGGGACCACACCAACCACACTGGTCTCTGACGAGGTGAGTTTGGATGCTCCACAGTGTCCGAACGGAGAAGGCATTTTTCCTTGCCGCTGCTGGGGATTGAACCAGAACCTCGCACATGCTAGGCAAGTGCTCTACCAATTGAGCCACACCCGCAACCAGGAACAAGAACTCTGTCCGGTAAGACCCCAGCTGGGAAGCACCATAGGGAACCAGCAAAAGAACCACCCTCCCTCCTGCTGTCACCTATGACAGGAATTGGGAAAATGCTATTTACATACAGGAAGATTCCAAGTGTTAAGACAAGGAAATCATAATAGTAGAATAGCAGACCATTGCTCTTTCCCTACACTTTCCCTCAAAATAAGAAGATCCCACATATTGTATGATTCCATTTATATAATATATGAAGAACAGAAAAACCCATAGGGCAGAAGATGGAGTCGTGGTTGTGTAGACTGTGATAGGGTGGGGGTAAATAGAGAGTGACTGCTAATGTCTACAGGTATCTTTTGGGGGTGATGGGTATATTCTAAACTTGATGGTGATGATTGTGCAGCTCTTTGGATGTAGAAAAGCCAGTGAATTGTGCACTTTTTTTGGTTAAGAAGGGATTGAACCCAGGGCCTTGTGCATGATAAGCACACATTGCACCACTGAGCTATAGTCCAGCCCTGAATTACATACTTTATTTGGGTGAATTATATAGTATATTAATTATAACTCAATAAGGATTTGTTTTTTTAAAATAATTTTTTTTTTGGTAATACTGGGGAATGAAGCTAGGGCCTGTGCATGCCAGGTAAGTGCTCTGCCACTGAGCTACATTCCCAGCCCAATATTTTTTTAAAATGGGTTTTTAGTGGCTTTTAGCTGTGTGTTTGTAGGCTCGTGACCCACTTCCGCAGCTTGCCAATTTCTGACAAGTAAGAACCAAAACAAGAACAAGAATTTGACAACACTCCGGAGTCATGCGGGTTTTTCTTTCTGTTCCCCAGTGTTCAAACCAAGAACGCATATCATTTTCCTGAGTAGGAAAACGAGAAGACATAAAATACTTTAATGAGATGCATTCTTGAGCAGAACTGCACACACTATCATCCCACTGACCTTTGGTCATTATTGATGTGATTGTTAGGATAAAACATCATTCTTCCAATTAACCCTCTGTCCAAGGACTTAATCAGGGGTTTTATATCATTATCACTGAAACACAATCCATTAAGTGCTTAATGCATGTCATATTAACAAGCTCTGTACACAAGGGGTTTCGGTTCATGATATATCAGGGAAATGTCATACTGGGAAAGGCCTGGGAGACATTATTCGTCGTACAGAAGGGAGTGCTACAGTCGAGATTTTGTTTGTGAACATCATAGTAACCAAACTTGCGGCAGAGTTTCCACCTATATTTCCTAGCAGGCACTGCTATCTTCAGTATACACAGGGAGCGTGTTACTGCTAGGAATACTTTATAATATGCCCTGACGCTCCCAGTCTTTTCTATGCTTGCATTTGGTGAGGACCATTGAATATTCACGCTTGCCCCTTCAAGCTTCAGAGCCTGAATGGTTCTAACAGCTGTAACACCCTCTGCAATACAACAATGACACAATTTCACTGCATATAGCAGCTCTTTAAATTTTTATATTCTCTCTTAATAATAATAATTCCAAATCAAATACTTCATTCATGCATTGGCCCCACATGTGAGGTGAGGACGGTAGACTCTGAAGAACAGCATGGAATATTTTGCTGCATTTTATCTTCCATAGGTACCCCCCTTTAAAAAACTAAAACAGTAGAAGCCAGGTGCAGTGGCACTCACCTGTACTCCCAGCACTTGAGAGGCTGAGGCAGGAGGCTTGCTTGAGCCCATGAATTTGAGGGCTCAAAAAAATGTTTATATATTTAGCACTGTCTACAAATCTGGAGAGGAAGATCACATTTTAAAAAGGGGCCATTCTCAAATAATTGTAGCAATATCAATGATATTGTCTCAGTCACAACTGGGACTGCTACAGCAGGATACCGCTGAGTGGTGCATACCCACAGACATTATTTTCTCCTCATGGTTCTGGAGGGTGAAAAGTCCAAGATCAAGGCACTGGAAAATTCAATGTCTAATGTGGACTCATTTTCTGGTTTATAGATGTCACCCTCTTGCTGTGTTCTTGAATGGCAGAGAGATCAAGGTAGCTCTTTGGGGGTCTCCTTCATAGGGCCACTAGTTCCTTTCATGAGGTCTCCACCCTCATCGCCTTCCATTGTTCCTTCTGCCATGTGCTGTTAAAAATACTGTAACCTTGGTCATGACATTTCAACACCTACTATACTCTTGATGGAGGGTGGAGCGAATACAAACATTCACAGCCTAGCAAATTGTTTATTCTCCTCACGTTTCCAGATAATCAAATCTAATGTGTGCGTGGCAGAAGTTATTTAGATTATCTTAGCAAAGTTCTCTATATTTGTCTTTAGCTTTTCTTACTTTTTAAAATAACACCTTGCTTACACCAAATAATGCCACCAGCTTACACACAAATCAAATCTCCGTCTTGTTGTTGAGGGACACTTGGAGGATACCAGAAAAGTCAGAACTAGTGAACCTTCTCGTGGCCTACAGATGTGTGAAGATTTATGTGAAAACGTGTAAGTAGACAGTTTCAGTAAATGAGTTCTGTATCTCCAGCAAGTTTAGGTGAAATAAGCCTTGAATGAACCTGAGATTGCTAAAGCTTTGCAAGTCCTTGGTGACATTCTGTCACCACCCTCTGGAGTAGCAGAGCATGATTTTTACAGCCAAAAGTCTGTCGCACCTCTCTCAATGATGCAATGCCGAGTCAGTCTGTTTCCTAGACTGGTCACTTTGGCTCTGGAGCCGCTGGAGAAGATCTAAGGGCTTAGAATGGAGCTATGGAGCAGCCCCCCAACCCACCCCACACGCCTCCTTTCCCTCTTTCTCTCTCTTGCCCTGTACTTTCCTCTACTGCTAAGATAAGGGGTCAGAGAGTTTTCCCTCAAAGGGTGAGACTGTAATTTAGGCTTTGTGGCCACTTCCTTCCTGTCTGAACCGCTCAGCTCTGCCGTTGTTGTAGTGCGATATCAGCCACAGACAATATGCAAATGAACGGCAGGGTTTGGGACTGCAACACTCTTTATTTACAGAAGCAGGCAGCCACCCTGTGAGTCAGAGCTTGTGGATCCCCAGCTCAGAAGAACTAGAAATTCTGGGCTGGGTTGCCTGCTTTTCCAATAATGTTCATGGATTTTACGCACATAAAGATCAGGATGGGGTCATCTGAGATGCAGGGTAACATTCTTTTTCTTTCTCTGGGTGTTGCTCATACATGGATTTTAACTTTGTTACAATGCAAGACTACAGCGATAATGTGTACATTTTTCTATATGTGTGCTATATTTTATTTTATTTATTCTTATTTTTGCAAGTGCTAGGGATTTAACCCCTGGCCAAATGCACCCTAGGCAAGCACTTTGCTCCTGAGCCATAGCCCCAGGCTGCATGAATAGATTTTCATACTCAGTTTGTTCTACCTCTCTGCTTCCAAAAATGTTGATACGACTGTAACTATGCACCCAAGGTCATTTTCGTGACATAGTGTGTGTGCACGTGTGCACGCTCGGGTGTGTGTGTGTGTGTGTGTGTGTGTGTGTGTGTGTTTTGCTGAGGATGGAACCAGAGCCTTTTGCTTGCACTCTGCCACTGAGCTGCACCCCTGGCCTTAGGCACAGTTCTTCATTCTGTTTTATTTCTTAGCTCATTTGCTTTGGGGCTGAGTTTGAAACCACACAAAATTCTCACCATTATCTACTGAAAGAGATGAACAGCTGCCTTCTTTGACTATTTTACCAGAAACTTTACAGCCACTCACCTTCCCAACTTTCTCTCCTAGGATATGTGTGACAATGTTTCCACCAAGCCAAATTCTCACTTGTATGCGTGCTGTATTGTATTTTATTTAGTTTTAGTTTTTGCAGTGCTGGGGATTTAATGTCCTCCATCTGCCCTAAGTGTAAATTATGTGCCATGAAAACCCATGTTGTAGCTTTTAAGGAATTTCAAAGTGGCCAGTGGAATTTCAGAAGAAAATGATTCATCAGACTTTTATTTTGAGAAGAAGAAAGAAGCTTTTTAATTCCATGTATTGGGCAAAGTCCTAAGATTGTTTGCAATTTTAAACCTTCTTAGATTTGGACCTGAGAGCTTTCTATATATACTACATTAGATATAAGAGTAAATTTTGTGCACATTATTCTCAAACAAAGCTGTAAATGTTTTTATAACTTGGAACAAAAAATTTTAGTGCTTTTTCCTTAGTCACCTTTAAGAAAACTCAAAGCAATATGTAATCAGAATTCTAAAGTATGTATAGCACTTGTTTCCAAACTTCATTTCTAGGGGTTTATTCTAAGGGAATCAGAATTTTCCAAAGATGTATATGAAATGATTGTTACAGTATAGATAGTTACAAATAACATAAATATTCCCAAATTTATTTATTTGGTGATGGGGCCTTTCTATATTGTCCAGGCTGGCCCCACACTCCTGGGATCAAGTGATCTTCCTGCCTCAGCCTCCTCAGTATCTGCAACTACAGGCATGTACCACCGTGCCTGGCTAAATTGTGGCTTATTTAAATAAATTTGGGCTCATTCCTAAATTAAGTGATATAGAAGGAACTCAAAATTGTGGTGTGGCTCTGTGTCTATTGTTGGAAAAATACGCTGATGCTATGTCTTCTCATCAGTCAAGATTAGATTTCCAGTCACTGGAAACTCAAATCAAATGGGTTTGATCAAAATAGATTCTCTCAGAGAGGTTTGGAATGCATCCATGATAGAGATTGTGCTTAGCACATGTGAGGCACTGAGTTCAATTCCAGCATCAAAAAAAAAAATCTTTTTTTTTTTTTTGTACCTGAAAAGTGTTGGAGCAAACCTGGCCCCAGAGATGGAGCCGGGGCTCTGGATCTGATTTTGCTGCTCATCGCCCCATCTCAGTGAAATATGTCATCTGCTTTAGGGCCACCTCACTACACAAGGACCCGCTTCCCTTCTGGGTCCTCAACCCCCTCAGAAGGCCAGAGGAAGACAGCATCTTTTCAACCGTGAGAGCAAAAGCCTCAAGTCTTACCTCACAGCTTGCAACTTGGATTTTGTTCCCATTCCTGAAATCATTGCTGTGGCCAGAGGGGTGAGCAAGGAGACCCAGATTCTATGCCCTGTGTGACCTGGGGTGGGGTCTGGAACACAGGCACAGGGACTGAGTTTGGAGGCATGGCTCCCAATGGGAAAAGTGGGGTGCTGTTAGCAAAAGAAGGCGTGGTGTTTGGACAGGCCAAACACAGTTTTTGGTGCCCGTGATTGAACTCAGTCCTTGGGCTTGCAAGGTACGCACTGGAACCACTGAGCTAAACCCCTGGCCCTTGGATAGGCAAAATAGACAGAAGTTTATCAGTCTAGAATTAACCCTCTTCCCTATGGAGGGAGAACCTTTCTAAGTTCTCTGCCCGGTGGCTCATGAATTACTTTTCTCACTTGGGTTGTGACACCAGACACTATTTGTGAGCCCTCTGTACACTGTAATCATTGTTCCTCCTCATTCTTTCTGGCATTGTTTCAGTAGCCTTGGCTGTTTTCAACTTTCATATACTGCTCAATACTCCATTGAATGTGTGAGAGCACTCTTTTCAGATTTCTGGGGTCTCTGTCAATCCTCTCCTCGCTGGTGAGACACTGGCTTGGGAATACGGTGCCCTGGCCTCTGAGGGCAAGATTGACAACTTGGCAAGATTGCTGGGCACTACCTGGGTGCCCCCTTCTTCTGCATCTCTGCAAATTTCCTCTAGGCAGGAGCTTGGAAAAACCATAGCGCTGATCTCAGTTTTCTTATCTCTGAGGGATCACTGTTCCTTGTTGCTCTAAATTCAATGTCTTATAAACTACTGTTTTGTGTATTCTCTTTTTAATTGGTTAGAAAGGAGAGCAAATCTGATCCATTTTAGCCCAGCTTATCTCTAAGGAGAAGCCCATCCTAACAAACTCTGGCCCCTAGACATGAAAATACAAGAAAATCCCCAGTGGGATCTCCTGGGTCTGTTCCATACTCCTCTCAGCTCCCACTAGGTAGCATCTCTGTTTTCCTTGGTAGTCAACACTAACCCCTTCAACAGAACCATAACCCTCTACCTTAACTCCCCTATCATTCAGTAGGCAGCATGGAATTCAAAGCAATGGGATTACTTTGTCTTTTGTTTTAAAGATGCCCTGATGGGAATCTAAATCACTCATGTAAGTAGTGCTCAGTTATAAGAGTGAGAAGCACAACACTTGAATAAAAGCTCATTATGCGTGGTTTTTAGAGGTATCTCTTGGTTTGTAGACTCATGTATCCTCTTTGTTCTAGACGATGTGAAATATTATGTACTAATCATCTATTTAAGATGTATGTGGCATCACGCAGGACAACCTCAACCTGGCTGGAGTTATTTTTTGTTTTATTTTGTTCTGTTTTTGCGATGTTTTTGCTTGTGCCAAACCCAAGGTTTCACGCAGGCTGAGTTCGAACCCTCCCACTGACCTATTTCTAATGGCCCAGACACAATATTTGTTGGTTGGCCTAATACTGACTGCTGCAGTGTGAGTGTGTTAGAAGCTGGGTCTCTCTGTGTGGCCATACTGAGAGTTTGTGAAACTTTTAAGAAGTGGGCCTGGTGGTAGGTAACTCGAGGGCAACATCCCCAGAAGTTGGGTGTAGTTTTCATGGAGTGGCTTGGGCCTTGCAGGACTGATCTCATGAGAGTAGGTTATAAAATGTGAGGCTTCTCCACACATCTGGTCCTTCTGTGCGACACACCAGGGCGGCCTCACCAGGATGCTGGAGTCATTTAGATTGGACTCTATGCCACTTGAATAATGAGCCAAAGAAACTTTGTTTTTTTTTTTTGGTGGGACTGGGGATCAAACTCAGGACCTAGAGCTTGCCAGGCAAGCGTGGTGCCACTGAGCTAAATCCCCAGCCCCAAATAAACCATTAAGTAGGACCCAGCCTCAAGTACTTTCTTATAGGCTAATATACTGAGTCTTGTTTCATAAAGATCTCTGTTCAGGATGGCAGTGTACATAACGACTCCAGTGAATCCCTTTGAGTGCCCGCTCACTACTCTGTTTTCGTCAACAGCAGCAACAGTGTTTCTGGAAAAACATAGATTTTCTAAGATACTAGTAATCTATGGATGGAAAGTAACATGAGGAGAGAGGTGAATAAAGATAATCCCAGGATAAAGATATTCCACAAGAACAGACTTTTCTTTCTTTTATGAAAATAGTCATTGTCTGCCAGATAGCTAATATACCCCAAAGGCTTGATAGCACATTAATATTCAGAATGGATCCATTTAATATTCCATGAATAGCAGCATTCAGGTTAGCCTTAGGGTTTGGAAGTTGTTGCTGTAGTCATAATGTGTATTTGATGATATCCTTGTTTATAAGCCTATTAACTAAGCAAGCAGTAGTCTGACTCAGATTAGTCATACAGTAAGTTGTGTTACATATCTCATTAATATCATTACCATGGTGATGCTGCTGAGGATTAAAACCAGGTCTTTGTGCATAATGGCTCTGCCACTGAGCTATATCCTCCATTCCCATACCTAGTTATTACAGCCACTTCCACACGAGAGTTCAGTAAGTATTCGCGTGGAAGACATATTTTTTAATAATCTGTTCTCATTCTGAGTGTCCTTTCTAATACCTCTCCTCCAAAACTTATTACCAATCCTTTCAATTTCTTCCTTGTATTCAAACCATAAATTACTCTATATACCAATTTAGAGTCTTCACTGAGGCTGTTTAACTGAAGGGTATTTTTTTAAATTCCACCATCTGCATAGGTATGAACTTTCAGAACTCCAATTGCACAAGCAAAAACACCAAAGCTCAACAAATGGGATTATGTCAAATTAAAAACCTTCCACACACCTTGCAAGTGCAAGGACCGGAGTTTGATCCCCAGAACTAAAAACAAAAACAAAAACAAAAAAACCCTTCTGCACAACAAAGGATATAATCAACAGAATGAACGGAAAACCTACAGAAAAGGGAAAGTTTTTTTTAAACCAACTGTTCCTAGAATATATAAAGAACTCAAAATAATTAGGTCCAAGTTGAAAAATGTGAAAAATGGGCAATAGAAAAACAGAGAGACTTCCCAGATGAAGAAATACAAATAGCATAATAAGTCTATGAAAAAGTGTTCACTATGTTTGGCCATTAGAGAAATGCAAATCAAACAACACCGAGATTCTGTGTTACTCCAGAATGAGTGGCTATCATCAAGAACTCAAAAAGTTACACATGCTAGTGAGACTGGGGTGAAGCGGGGAGGAACGCTACTACATCAGAGTGGAAATGTAAACTAGTACAACCACTAGTTGTATGGAGATCCTCAAAAACTAAAAGTAGAAATTCCATTTGAGGACTGGGGATGTAGCTCAGTGGTTCTGCCACCTGTCCTGTACGTGCAGAGTCTCAAGTTCAAACCCCCAGGACCAAAAATAAAAATAAAAATAAATAAAGAAATTCCATTTGACCCAGCCATACCTCTTGTGAGAATCTTTCCAAAAGAATAAAAGATACATGTGACAGTGCTACATGCATAACCATGTTTATAGCAGCACAACTCATGACAGTTGAATCTTGGAAGCAGCCTATATATCCTTCAACCAATGAGTGGATTAAAACAAGGTAGCCTACATCCACAGTGGAGTACTACTCAGACATAAAGAAGGACATATTTATGTCATTTGTAGGAAAATGGATGCATCTTGAGACCATAATTCTAGGTGAAATGAATCAGACTCGGGGGTTAAATACTGCATGGTTTCTCTTACATGAGAAACCCAGAATACAAATAACTTAAAGAGCAAAATAAAAGATAGATGTCAGGAAATGGAGAGATAGACCGTGTGGTGATGGGAAGAGGATCTGGCCATGGGTGAAGATAGAAGGGAAGAGGAGGTAAATAGAATCAGGATGTCATATACACATGAACCAATTCCTCATGATGAATGCATTTATTATGTATTGCAAACCCACATTAACAAAAGGGTGAGGAGACTCAGTCACCTGAGAGCATTTCCCTTATTGCAGCAGGCAAAATGAAACTTAGGGTTCTATAATGCTACTGAAATCAGCTTTGTTCCACTCAAGTCAACCAGTTTATTTGTCATTTGAGCTTGGGATTGAATGTAGAGCATCATGCATGCTAAGTATGCATTCCACCACTGAGGCTTATCCCTACCCCCATATATGGTTTAGAAAAAAACATCATTTACTGAATTTCCGCAGTATGCATGGACCTCAAGGCCGGAGCAGGCACACTCTGTAGACTCATACTGCATTGTTTTCTTACACAGCATTTTTACCAGGGTGCAGTGTATGAGGGCCTGAAGGTTTAAGAGAAAAGTAGCAGACTATCAATCGGCATAATGGATGTTGAGCTAGGTGCACCAAGAACTTATCTTGGACAAGAGCACCAGAAAATTTGACAGATACTATTTCAACATGATAATGGACAACTTGGTGAGTCTTCTGAATTTCATCTCTGCATGGTAAGATAGTACTAGTTTATAACCTACTCCTCGAGTTGTGTGATCAGTTATGGTTTTATGGTTATACGGTTATTATCCACTGAGGCCTAGTAGAAGCCAAGAGCTCTTTCATAAATGAATAAAGCAGAAAAAGGCATGCTTTTGCTTAAAAGTACTGCACTCACCTGGGATTTTCTTATCTAAGATTTCTGTATGTTTCATCTAGTCTGCTGACCTATTATGCAACTTTGAGCATCATTAGATTCACTAGAGCAAAAAGGCCAAGTGGAAAAATGTAAACCCCAACTATCTGGGTAAACTCTGTTGCTCTGAGTTCTGCTTAACTATGGAAGCCTCGGGCTGAGGTATAGCTCAGTCGAACATCATTTGGTCAATATGCATAAGGTCCTGGGTTTGACCCCTAGCACTGGGGAAAAAATGTAAGCCTTTCAGACACATGGGTAAATGATTTACAACTGCATACTCAAATACACTACTTATTGCTTCCAAAAATTGAAGGGTCCCAGCCTTAGAACTTGCTGTATGGTAGGAGAAAGTGGAAAGGCTATTCTAACACATACCTGACCACCAAACTCCCAGAAATTTTCCTGAAGTGCTGCTTTCAACATTTTTAAGGTGTTCATCTTCGTCTGGCAAGCATGATTCTACAGTGGTATCTAGAATATTTATTTATTCTTGTTTTTCAAGTCTTGGTTGGATGTCATCAACAATGAAGTAAAACTGCTAATATAACTCTGATATGAATATTAGTTTGCTAATGCAAGAAAGTGAGAGTGGCTACAATTAAAAAATAAATTATCTCACTATCCATGGATGGGAGACTGAATTGAATAAAGAGGGAAGTTTAGGGGGATAAAACATCAAAGTCCTGGGAGTCCACTGCGTCCTCCAATAAATCTATATATTTGAAATTATTCTTTTTTTTTCCAGGTCACAATTTATACAGGAGTTACCAGGAGGACACGTAAATTCTGTTAATATAATTAAAGACCATGAAGATCTATACTAGACTTTAGTTTTAACTACCTGGTGTGTTATTCCACTTTTCAGTACTGTGACAAAACTACTGAGATAATAAACTTAAAAGAAAAGGTTTATTTTGGTTCATGGCATCAGAGGTTTCAGTCCATGGTTGTTTGGCCTTGCTCTGGGCCTGTGGTGGCTCAGTACACCACATGGTGGACAAGGCCAGTTCACCCCACGGTCACCAGAAAGCAAAAGACAAAACAGGAAGGGGCCAGGGGCCCAACACCCACTTCAAGGCCACAGCCTCAGTGACATCACTTCCTTCCAGTGGGTCTCACCTCTTAAAGGTTGCTCCCAACAGTGCCAAGGTCAGGGACCAAGCCTTTAACACATAGGCCTTTCAGAAACATTTCATAGCCAAACCTTAGCACCAGGGGTATGGGAATAAATACTACAAGGACAATGATATAAATTGCTACTTTTTTTGCCAGGGATTTAGCTCAGTGGTTCTTCTGCCTTCCTTGAAAGCACAAGGTCCCAAGTTTGATCCCTGGTACTGGTACCAAAAAAAGAAAAAGAAAATTGCTACTTTTTTGTCTGTCTCAAGAAAGAATTTAAGGATTCAAGTTTGCTGCTCCTTTTTAAGGGTACCGATTCTGCTACATTTATACAATCCCCAACCTTCCACTTCTCATCCTTCCTCCTTGTTGTATGTTGAGGTCAGTATGGTCCCCCAAAGCACTGTTTTTAGGGAGCATATTATTTCAGGAGCAGGAAGAAAAAATTTAATTGGTTATTTTGCCATTTCTTACACTGTGAACCATCAGAGCCTCATGCTTGCTGTTTACTGCCTTCAGCCTCTAACAATCTGATAACAAGACCCAGATTCCCCATGATTCTCTTGCGGCCTATTGCCAACTACTTAGGCCACAGGCACAATTTAAAAAAAAAGAAAAATGACTCTAGATAATTTAAATACATTTTTTAAAATTGGAAGGCTATCAGGAACACATAAAATTGACAGGGAGCTTGTTCTAATGCCCAGGCTGTCCTGAAATTCTTTGGATCAAACAATCTTCTTTGTTTTGTTTTGTTTTTTGGTACCAGGGATTGAACTGGGGACCTTGTGCTTTTGAGGCAGGTGGCGGAACCACTGAGCTAAATCCCCAGTCCCACAAACAATCTTCTTGCTTCAGCCTCCTAAGAAGTTACAGCTACCACTGATGGAGCCACATTCCTAGCCCTTTACAATTTTTATTTTGTGTACTCTAAAAATATTATATGAAGAAAGGAAATATTCTGAGGCTTTTTTTGGAGGCTACCATTTCCTAAAGTTAAAAGAATAAAATATTCAAGTTTGTTTCTAATGTCGGATAATTTCAGCATTTGAAACTGATGTCCTCACAATAACCGAATCTATAAGCAACTGTATAATGAATCATGCATTCTGCTATATGGTTTTATCCAACATTCAATCTTTACACTGCAGAGCTTGGTAGCAGTGCCCTTCAGGATGCTCTTATCAATAAACATGGAAAAAGGATGCAAGTAGAATTATGAGAGGATTTGTCCAATTTTCAACTTAGCTGGAAAAGAACCTGAGAAAGGAATGTAGAATTTACTTTAATGAGTTTACAGGTAATAACTGATGCATAATGATGAGGAGAGCTTTGCCCCTTTAGAAATTCTAAAATCAATATACATAACGCTGATCTGTTAGTGGGTTACACAGTTGCCTAGTGGTGACTACTGCCACCTAGGGACCAGATATGTGAAGTGGCTTGGCCCTCCCATCTCCAGTCCCTTGACTGCATTTTATGGAAAGAAACTCTTGGAGCAGAAGTTGAAAGAACTTCAGATAAAATAGCAAAGCTCTTAGAAGAATATAAAAGTGACTACATTTTCCCCAGATATCAGTCTTTAGTGGAATACAGCATATGCATTTGAAGATCAAGGCCTAATTTACATTTCAAATTGGACACATGCTGACATTGACCAGCCCAGCTAAGCTTTCCTTTAATCACAAATTCACTGCAGACTACTTCCTGTATCTACAGCAGAGATGTGAGGAGAGGGTTATATTCAGAAACAGAAATTTGTGTGCACATTGAAATTCAGACACACATGTGTGGGAGGGGATGAGGAGACACTTAGATCGACATATGATAGGTAGAGACACGTACATATGCAAAAGGTGTGTATGGAGGAGATTGAAATACTTATATTTGTCATCCCTGGGTTTTAAGATCATGGATTATTTATAGTACTTTGATTCCTCTTGATTTTATTTTTTAGAATTCTACCATGAATATGTATTTCTAGTATAGAAATTTCTTCTAGCTTGAAAGCACAAGTTTGAGTATCAATGTCTCCATAGTGTAAAGATTTTCAAGTCCTGCTTTGTTAAAGAAAATCAGGAATGCATCAAATACTTCTCCTATTTTAATTTAAGTATGTTTTTAAAAGGCAGTGAATTAAATTTTTTCAAAAAGTTTTTTTTAAGTGCACACACTACTGTTGTAGTCTATTAGCAGTAAAAACCTCATTCTCGATAGTAATAATACTGAAACATAATCTATTATATCATGGCATTCAAATGTTGTATATGTAGAGGTCAATAATCAGATTGTCAGTGTTGACCAATCTTAATGCAATTCGCTCAGTGGACACTAGAGGTGCAGAGGTGCCATGGGTGGATCTTTGCCACATGGGAGCTCTAGAGAGCCGCTAGGTGATCAATGACAGAAGCAGAGTAACTGATCCTTAGTGCTGTTGATGCTGTAGGCTGAGGTAAAGACAGAGGGTGGGAAAGACCTAGACATAACAACTAACCATGCTGAATTATATCCTTTAGGACATCAGCTTTCAGCGGTTGAAAGGCTCATTCAATTATTGATCAAGATATGTAGCAGAGGTTACTTATGACATTTCTGTACCTAGGCACTCATTTTTATTCAATAATACATTCTCAGAATAAAGCCAAGGCTAAAGGGTAAGTTTATGATGGTGGATTAGCCACTTTGCTGTTGCTGAGACAAAAATACTTGACACATGCAACTTAACAGAGGAGAGGTTTAATTTGGTTCGTGGTTTCAGAGGGTTCAGTCCATGGTTGCCTGGCTGGCTTTGAAGCAGAAAAGGTATAAGTGGAAGGGCCTGGCAGAGGAATTCTGCTCGCCCCATAGCTATAAAACAGAGAGAGGAACAAGGGATGAGCTAGGGACAAGAATACACCCTTCCAGGTCATGTCCCTGGTGACCTGCCTCTTCCATTCAGATCCTACTTCCTAATAGCACATTCACTATGAAGTCATTGCGTTTCAGGATCTGACTACCTTCCAAAAGCCTCGCTTCTGAGCACATGAAACCTCAGGAGGAAGTTTTAGATTTAAACCACAATAGATGGTAATTATTACTTGTTGTATAGAATATAATTTTATTAACAGTGAAGAATTTTATTAGGCACCTACAGAAATGTCATTTAGGGAATGATTTTAAATTGCCTAGAATTTGTGCTGTATTTCTGCAATTGCATGTGTGTGTGTGTGTGTGTGTGTGTGTGTGTGTGTGTGTGTGTGTAAGGTGCTACCTTGAGAACACAGCAAGCAGATCTTTAGAGTTCTCCAATTCTGGCTACAAATGCTGAAATTCTAATTCTTGTCAGATGACATTAAGGAGGAGGCATTTAATGATGGCAAATGGGCTTGTTCTTACATGGATTGGAATTGTTAACAATCACTCATTTGAAGGGTCTTACCCCCTTTAAAACTTCTTATCCATGCTGACTTTCTGAGCTATTTTTTTTTCTGGGTTTGGGAATAAACCTTTCCATGATCAGTTTAGATTCAGAGCCCTACTAATGAGGGATAATATTTAAAATATTCCCAGTCAATTGGGTCCTGACATTAGTGTATTGGGGCTCAGTCACTGACCCATCAGATTGGACCAAGTGGCCACCAGCAAATTCACTAATCTCTTAATGAGTTATCACCTCTAGTTCTGAGGCTTTCACCCCAATCTGTTAATTCTGTCCACTGATCTATGCAGATGTCAGATTCTTGGGCTTTCGCTTCTTCCTTGACTCTCCTCAATGTTGCTGAGCCCCAGAATTTTTCCTCCACCCTTCTATGCTTGATATTAAGTGGCTGCACACTTTTCATGAACTGCTGCGCTAGACTTGGGTTCTAGAATCTTTCTACCAACCTTGTACTCTGATATCTGATTTTTCCATCATCAACCCTTGCCAACTCGAAACTCATGTGTAATCAATCATTCTGGTTTATCCACAAACAAAGAAAAATGATTGTCTTAGGCAAGGTCAGAATCTGAAATGGGAGAATCATAATTCTAATGTAGGTGAGTATGAATCCAAGCTCTTGCTTTTAAGGAATCAAGCCTACTGCCATCTCAGAGACCTGGCCTGCTATCTCTTCAACAGTTCATTTCTTCTATTTCCCACTAAAATGTCATAATCATCTTCAAATACATTCACTTTTTCTAAACCAAGTCAGAGCAAAGTACAAATTGCTGACAATTGTTTAATCTGGAAAGGTGATTATTTTCTAGGTGGCAGACTTTATTGCTCCTAATTCTAGCACACGTACTAGCTTTATGAACCACATAAATTTAACATCTAAGTCTCAGTTTTCTCATTTGTAAAATGGAGATACATATCTATTCAATAAAATGCCCTTCTGTGCCTAGCTTACTTCATTAATACAAAACTAATGCTTATAGCATGATAGGATAACTATAATCTACAACTGTTACGTATACATTTCACAGTAATTACAGGAGAAAAGTGAATATTTGAGGGATAACTCTAATTGTCCTTATTTGATTACATTATATAAAGGTATTGAATTATAATACTGAGCCCCTCACATAAGGGCCAATATTCAATTTGTTAAATGTCTCACATGTAGAAGATGCTCAAAAGAATAGTAGTAATTTTATTAAGTTACTCAGGAGTGTTGTTGTTTAAACAAAGCTTCTGGGCAATGTGATGCATTAACATAAAAAAATG